ACACACACACACACACACACACACACTCGCGCGCACACACATGCACACACACGTAGGCCTATAATCACATACATAATATAAATGAGCGATATTGAACTCGTTGGTTTGAACTAATATATAAGAAATAAATAAACCGTAAAGCATCTATATCGTGACAAAATATCAAATCCTTGTATCCGCTTTAGAGTTTAGTGAACTCTATCTGAACATCATTCAGCATCGTTAAACTTTTCATTATTCAATTATTTTTTTTTGGGCATAAACATAGCATTTCATACGAGGGGAGGTGAAAGAACTTGGTTAGTTTTCACGAATGAAAAAGATTTTGTTCCCATTGAGACAAAACTGTCTATAAATACATTAACCATTAACTGTGAGGCATCGAGGATGAATCAGGCGCTCTTCAAAATAATGAAATCAAAGAAATCGACATTTATTTGGCCAGGGGCAATTTTTTGTTTAAATTTCTTTTTTTGTTGTTGGCTCAACAACTATTATATTAATTTGAAACACAGTTTTGTGTGGAATTTACAGGGAAAAAAAACTGATTAAAGATGGCCCTACTTATAGGAGAGGTTTGATTTTTATTTGTGTGTATATTTGTTTGGTTATAGAGAAAACTCTCCTTGTCTTTTAAAGAAACTGAACAAGGGGCAAAAACTTTACCTTCGATTTTCTCAAAACAGCATTTATCGGGATAGCCCCCTGGTGCTTAAAAGCGACCAATTGTCGAGGTCTATATGAGATGGGTATTATATCTAGAGGTCTCGTCTTTTAATTATAAATAACCTTAACGTGCAGAAAGGGCTTTTAAAAATCACCCTCACGGTTGACAGAAATCGGAAAGGTCAAGGGGCCGGGGGTATAATTAATGTTTACATAATATACATATTATTATACCCGCTTTCAATAACAATCTTTTGTGTGGGTTTAAAATCCCTATTAGCACCAGTAGGTTATTTAAGAGTCGGGACCTCCGATTTTAACCCCCGTCTGCAACAGGACCGTCAGTATGTCTCTCATCATACAAACCAGAACAACCCCCACCCCCCCTCCCCAACTAAAATACAACATTAATTTGAAAAAAAAAGAAAATCCTGTGAAATGAATAGGAAGCGTCATCAAATTAAGACAACTCATGTGGAGAGCGGGTAGACAAACTCCAACACCCTGGGTTGTCAATGTTTGAAATTGTTGATACCATCAAAAATAATGTCCAGCACCGGGCAGTTATAAGCTTGACCGTGTCGTAAGCACCATCAGAACTGTTTATGTTCGGGCCATTCATCCATCAACTCAGTTTGGCTTGGCAGAGGTTTCTTCCTCTGTGGGTGACATTCACTGGGTACAATCTCATTGCCTGTTTCAAACATCTTTATCTCTCTCTTTCTCTCTCTCTCTCTCTCTCTCCGTCCTTCTCTCTCTCTCTCTCTCTCTCTCTCTCTCTCTCTCTCTCTCC